GGGCAATCAAGAATGAAAGAAGACATGAAATTGTCTCTCTGACACGACCTTCTACATAGAAAACTCTAAAGACTCCACAAAAATCTGTCAGAACTGACAAATGAATGCAGTTAATTTTCAGGACACAAAATTAACAAACAAAAATTCAGTAGCATTTGTAAGCATCAACAACAAACTATTTTAAAAAGAAGTCAGTGCCAAATCATATTTATAAGAAAATTAAAAAGAATAAAATACTTAAAAGTAAACTTAACCAAGGAGATTAATGATCTCTGTAATGAACATTATAAAACATTAATGATGAAAATTTTAGATAACACAAATAAAAAGATATTTATATCATAGATTGGAAGAATTAGTATTGCTAAATGTCCATGTTGTCCAATATGATGTACAGATTGTCTTAGTTTCTTTTCTCATTGCTGAGACAAAACACCTGATGTGGAAAGTTAAAGGAGGAAAGCTTTACTGTAGCTCACAGTTTGTAGCTTTCAGTTCATAGTCAGCTGGCTCCAAGGCAAGATGACATGGCAGAGGGGCATCGCAGAGTAGGCCGGCAACAGGCAGCAAGCAGCAGGCAGCAAGCAACAAGCACAGCCCTTTTTTGGTCTCTTACATTTTATCCAAGCTCCTAGCAGCACACCTTGAATCAATCCCAGCATCACATCCTTGATCCCAGCATCACACACCCTACATCCAGCCACCTCTGAAGAGCCCACCTGTGACTGAATTAGGCTTTGAGGGGACATCTAGACACAAGCCATCACACCTCCCTATCAAAATTCCAGTGGTATTTTTCACAGAAATTGTTTTTTAAATCCTAAATGTCATACAGAACTGCAAAAGAACCCAATAGGAAAATTTAAGACAAAGCCAGAGATACAATATTTACTGATTTCAAACTATATGCTAACGGTAACCAAATAGTATGATATGGACCTAAAACAGATGCATAAACAATTTTTCAAAGGTACAGAATCAAGAACCCAGAAATGAACCCATGCATACATAGTCAACTAATTTTTAATAGAAAAGCCAAGACTCTACAATGGAAAAGTGACAAATGGTGTCGAGAAAACTGAATGTTCATGTGCAAAAAATTATGTTAGATTATTTTCTCATACAGTGTTCAAAAATAAATTCAAAGTGAACTTAGAAGACTTACTTTAAGACTAGGAACTATAAAGCTCCTAGGAAACATAGGGGGAAATTTCTTTGACCTTGGCCTCAGCAATAATTTTTGGGATTTGATGGCAAAAGCAAGACAACAGGCACAAAAATAATGAAATGATGCCCTATCAAGATAAAAAGTTTCCCCACAACTAAGAAGCAGTCAACAAAATAAAAAGATAACTCCTGGGGACTTAGCTCAGAGGTGCTGCCGCCTGCCTCACAAGTGCAAGGTCCCTGGTTCAATCCCTGGTACTAAAGAAAGAAAAAAAGATAACTTACATAATGGGAAGAAATACGTATATCACACATATCTGATAAGGGATTAATATATTGAATTGATAAGGAATGCATACAAATCAACAGCAGAAAAAGAAGCCAGTTTAAACATCAGAAATGGATTCCATTTTCATTAAAACCCTACTTAACCATTCCTCTTCCTATTTACCTCAGATAGCCACCATTCTACTTTCTGAATCTTGCTGTTCTAGACACCTAGTATAAGGGGAATTATACAGTATTTGTTCTTTTGTGTCTAGCTTATTTTATTTAGCATAACATTTTCAAGATATATCCATGTTGTCACATGTAAGAGACTCCCTTGCTTTTTAAAGCTGAATAACATTTTATTGGATGTATATGCTAATCTTTATCTATTTATCTGTGATGGATGGGTTACTTTCACCATTTGGCTAATGAGAATAAGGTTGCTGTGAACACTAGTATAGTAATACCTCTTCCAATTCCTACTATCAGTTCTTTAGAGTATATGGCCAAAAATAGAATTATTCAATCATACAGTAATTTAATGCTTACTTTTTGGTGTAATGCCACATTATCTTCCATAGAAACTGTACTGTTTTTATATTCCTATCAACAAAACACAGAAATTCCAATTTCTCCACATTCTCATCAACACTTAGTAATCACCCAAGTGAGTATGGAGTGTTATTTCATTGGTTTGAATTCTATGACCTTGATCATTGATGTCGAGCATTTTTCATGTCTTTATTGGCCATCTATGTATCTTCTTTGGAGAAATATCTAGTTCTTTGCCCATTTTTAAATTGAGTTGTTTTAGTTATTGAGTTATAGGATGTCTAGATAGTCTGGATATTTATTAGATATATGATTTAATTTTTTAAAATAGTTTTCTCTCAATCTGTGGGTTTTTCTGTGTCTGTCACTGTCCTAATTGGGTCCTTTGATGCACAAGTATTTTAATTTTGATGAAACCCAACTTATCCATTATTTATTTTGTTTTCTGTGTTTCTGGTGGCACTGGTAAGTAATCATTGCCAAATGTAACAGTGTGACGCTTTCCTCTAAGTTTTCTCCTAGGAGTGATACAGTTTTAGCTCTGAGGCTGAGGTCTTTGACCAATTTTAGGTTAATCTTTCTGTGAGATGCAAAGTAAGGATCCATCTGCAGTCTTTTTCATATGGATGTACAATTTTTCCAGGGACCATTTGTTGAAAACATTTTCTTTCACCATTAAATGATGTTGGCTCTCTTGTCAAAATCAACTTACCATATATTCAACATTTAATTTCTGAGCTTATTCTATTCCATTGATCTATATGTCTATCTTTATGCCAGGGTCATAATGTTTTTGAGGGATTCTTTTTAAAATATATATGGCTCCCCACACACACACACAAAAAATTGCCTGAGTCTAGCATACCCTGTGCAGCTCTACTGATTTTTTTTTTTTTGGTACCAGAGATCAAACACGGGTCCTTGTGCTTGTGCAGCAGGCAGCAAAACCACTGAGCTAATTCCCCAGCCCTCTACTGATTTTTGGAACCCTGCTCTACGATCCTTCAGTGATGAGTATTGTAGATATGGCTGACCAGCTTGATTTATTTGCTGTCTTAAGGGACTTACCCTGTTAGCTGTCTGTCCAAGACATTCTATATCTTCAATATTCACCAGAGAGTAATTCAGTATCAATCAGTTTTCCAGAGAATGTGTTCCTTAAATTGTCTTTAAAGCTCTAATTTCAGAAACTTTCTAATATTATATGTTAATATATTTGTTCTGTTGAAATATTTCACTTTCTTTGCTGGGTTACAGTTCACATCTTGTTTTCTTACATTACGTTCTCTCTGAAGTTTTGGATCTCTTCACTATATTCATGCTTGTCAGAAGTGATTGCTTCATTGTGTTTTTAAAAATTATTACTTTGTCCTAATTAATACTTTTCTTAACATTCCTTTACTCCTTAGCAGCCTTTATTATGATATGTTTTAGCTATCTGTAATTTATTTTTTCTCATTTTTAGATCTTTTAGTCTTCTGATTTTTTTTGTAGGTTCTCTGCTACTTCTTTTTTGTTACCTCATCATTGAAGGAGGTGGGTTTTTCTTTAGTAACTATTTGCATGATTTTCTGTGAGGGACATTTAGAGCTTCCTAACAGTATAACTGCATTTTTTTTCTTTTGGTCTAGGATTTTCTGTTTCTTTAGCTTTTACTTTTCCCAGCCAAAACAGAAAAGTTTCAGAGCTGATGAAATAAAAGATTCTTTTCTCTTCACCTGGTACAAGGACAGACAGTTCTTATAAGTATGGCATATCTGTGTGATTCTGTGTTGGGCCTATTTGATGACTTTCTAAAACCACTTTGCCACCGCCCGTACATGCCCTCACTTCCACTGACACAAAGGTTTTGAACCTACGACTGTACTTCTCACCTTTGAGAAGTAGCTTTTGCTGCCTCTTTCTAAGTATATAGATACAAAATACTCTCTTCTCACTTCAACTCGTGCCCGGCACTCTTTGCCACCATATTTGGCAGTCCTTCTTGATATTTTGGGTTTCACAGTTTTAGCTAACTCTCAGTTTCTCTGAAAATGGGCATTCAATTTCAGTTTCTCCTGTGGCCTTTGAATGATTTATTCTATAGAAAGAGAAAAATGTTGGTTTTATGATGCCGTTTATGGAGGTAAATTTGCAGTGCTCAGTTGCATTTAGCTCCAAGTTCTTCTGAATGTCTGCTTTCTTATGTGAGATGGCAGCCCAGAGGTGAGAGCACCCTTTGTGCTGGGAACAAATTGCAGCAGTGTCATTTTTCCATCATAAACATTATTGACCTAAAATGGCATTTCAGCCTTCAGTTTTGTTTTTATTAGAACCATCTCTAAACATCTAGAAAACAGTTAATGATAAAATAACTTCTTCATATATAAATATATGGGAAAATTTTAAGTCACACTTTAATAGGTTAAAATGTTAATCTATTGAACTACATTTAATTCCATCTGATTTCTCTGTAGTCAGTGGTGGAAAACATTTTTCCACACTTCTTGTGTGTGTTCTGCGCAAATGCGTGCATTTGTATACAATGTGTGTGGGATGCTCTCGTTTGTATCTGTGAATGGTCAGCTCCTTAGGCTGCTGTCGATTTGCACTGTGAGGTGAAGGAGGAGGGACTTGAAAGCAGAAGGCTGATAAGCTATGCAAACCAGGGATTGTTCAGGAACTAGGAGCCAGGTTTGCCATCAACTGCTTCATGACTTTCTCCTCAACAAACCTTCTAATTAAGAATTGCACTAAGGAAACACTTTAATGTTTCTTAATTGAGTGTCTACTCCACGAAAGAAACATTAATGAGTACTCTGGAAGAATAAAAGTTTTGACGATGATTCTTGGAGTGTCCCTAGAGAGACCAGGGTCTCAAACCTCCCCATCCGGCAGCACTAGCATCTCCTGGGATCTTGTTAAAAACAAATTCTTGAGCCCCAGATGAAACCTGTTAAGCAGAGACTGTGGGTGAGGACCTGCAATCTGTGCGTTAACAAGGCCTCCTGGTGGTTTTAATGCACATGTGTGAGGATCACTGATATCATGCATCGTCCCTGAACTTTTTTTCTCATAAAAATGTGAGTCACTGTGAGTACTGAGTGACCTTACCATGTAAAGATTGAAAAGTACAAATTGGTATAAAATTTTAGGTATATTGTCCACCATAAAAGGAGATAAACTGAAATGAGAATCTCTGAGAGTTCAATCTTCTTTTACACAATTTGAGCAGCAAGTCATGAATTAACCTTAATATAAAAGTCAATGCCCTCCCTAAAAGCTACCAGTCAAGGATGTTGTTATTACTAATCTGGATAGGAACAGGGTTTTCTTTTGTGGTGCAGATTCAGAGGAAATTCTGAAATTGGACAGGACCTCACAAAAAAGACAGGAGGGATTCCTGGGCCTTAACCCATTTACCTGTTACTCGCTAAAAGGGAAGACATGTTTTTTCCCCCTATCCTCCCTTACTAACAGTGTAGTGGAATGAGCTCTTCCCTTACTCCCTGGTGGTGAAGGGGATGGTGTCTCCTATCATGTACCAAGAGGAAATTCTCCAAAACCTGGGGAAAATGTCTTTAAAACATCATATTCATGACACCATGGAAAATTACTAGACACGAGCACGTCACATTGACGTCTTTGAAAGCTAGTTCATTCTTTTGTCAGATTTTCTCTGCCAGAGCTAGGCTCTTTCAGCTGAAGGCCCTTCCCCCATTTTTCTTCCTTCTCAATAAGTCTTTTCCTGTGAGTTCATGCTGTTTCTCTGTTTTAATTTCTATTGTGACTGAAGCAAGTTCCCGAACACATCCTGTATCATCATGACACTCCATGGTCCACTGACATATTTTCCAGCTAGAATGAGAGTGAAACAAATATCAGTGCAGCTGTGAGGAGGAAAAGAAATCCAAACAGAAATCAGAATTAGTACAGGAGAGGGAGGAGCTGCTCCACCAGATCAGCAGAATGAATACTTGTCGGTACACACTGAGTCACTTCCTGCCCCCTGAATGGAGTCACACCATCTGTCAGGTGACAAGATTTCTGCGAATTTGAGGACAGAGACACTCTCTTCACTCCATCTTAGGTAAGGTGACGCCTTGAGTGTAATTCTATTGCTTTTCACTTTATTGAAAGATTTGATTGATGCTTAATTGATAAGTAGCAGTGCAGGGACACAGAAGAGAGAAGTCAGGACGGATAGAAATAGTCTTATGAAGGACAATGCAACAGTGTGCTTAGGTACACTATGAGTTTTTGGAGAAAAGTACAGAGGAGGAAGTGTGCTGTGAGGCTGAGGGGATCCATATGGGGGTGTGTGCGCCTTCTCCTCAGGTGTCACTTGTTACGGCCTCCTCTGAAGGAATCTGACCACACCCTCCTCGGCCGACCAGAGACCACCCTACATGCCCCCATTCAGCACAGCGGGACCCAGGGACTCACTATCACCAGCCCTGCTATTGACAGCAACCACTGCTCCCTGTGCTTTCCCAAGCCTCATCCTTGGCCAACCATTACCCCCTGGGCTCTCTCAAGCCTTGCTCTTGGCAGGTAGTCACAACCTTCTTTTGGGTAGCAAAAGTTTATCTATGGTTTGCGAAGGCAGAGAAGCTACCGCACAGCAAGCAAGGGCGGGCTGCGAGGTAGGGGAACCACTGTACTTAGAGAGGTAAGTTGGTCCCAAAAAATAACTGTTTCACTGATTGGTGTAATCTAGGCCAATCAGGGTCTTAGCCTTTGTTTCTGGAGTGAGCAAAGGGTCAGGGGGTCTAGGGGCACACAGGAAATGCATGCAAAGATTTCACAAAAGGCAACTTGCTCAAGTACATGGTGCAAAGTAAGCACGTGGTCATTTCTGTAATGATCAGCCACACAGGTCAGGACCTATGCCCCTGCCTACATCCCCCTCTAGCTGTCCCTACAACATAATATTGTGTTCAATGTTACAGATGAGATAAATGGCACCATAATAGTGAGAGATGGAGGTTGGAGGGGGAAGAGAATGTTTTCATTAAGGGCTATCAGACTTTTCTGAGGTAACATTTAATAGAAGCCTATAGAATGAGAATGAACCAGAGACAGTGATCAAGCTAGACAGAACAGCATTTCCTAAGGCTGGAAGGTAGAGAGGGTCATGGTCCCAGGCAACTGGCGTGGCAACACACACTCTCCAGAACACAGGGTCCTTAAAGACAAGGGCACACAGAAGTGGGCTTACAGGTGCCAAGGGCAGCAGGTAACAACACTGAGGACACTGGGCTCAAGTGAACTAAGTGCACCAGGGACAATAGGAGGCCTTTGTGGGCAGAAGAGGGAGCAAGAGGAAGATTCCAGGCAGGAACGTCCACATGAGCTATCACAGAAGGTTCACTTAGAACACATGCTGTCCTGCCTGCCCTGCCTGCCATCTGCTGCTGCCCTCACCCACAAGTCTGAGTGCTTCATCAACCCCATCGCCCCTGAAGCCATCACAGATCAGTGGCCTGAGAGGTGTGCCTCCTGTCTGCAGAGCTAGTGAGCCAGTTTCAGGAGCGCCTCTTGTTTATTTGTTTGTTTATTTATTTTGAGACAGGGTCTCACTATGTACTTAAGCCTGGCCCTGAACTCACTATGTAGGACAGGCTGGCCTCGAACTCACTGCAGTTCTCCTGACTCAGCCTCCCAAGTGCTGGGATTACACTCGTGTGTCACTACACCATGGTGTCTTATGTGGCATTCTTAACCTGATTTTACTGAAATGTTTAACTGAAACCCAAACTAATTAAATATCATTTTAGGTTGATATTGGGATGGAGCACAGGGTCAGTCAGCGTACCTGGCCCCCCATAAACACACACAACACGCATATACACACACACACACATCACACACACACATACAAACTTATCGTTAGAGACCCAAATGCCTAACTTATCTTCAGACTTCCATTAGTGACTCTACCCAAGTTTCTAGTGTGAATTCTGTGACTATCTTTTACTGAGTTGTCAAAATCCACATCTTCAGCCTTTGCAAACCCTAAAAATCCCAAGCAGTCTGCCATTGGTGATCCAGACCCCAGGAAAAAACAAGCAGAAGGGGTTTGGAGAGATGTCTGTAATCTCCATTGCTGCCCAGCAAGTTCCTGCTGCCCACTTGATTTCAGGCCAGACATGTGAATTTCTTCACTCTGCAGAAACCAAGCTGTCTGAAGAGAGGGCAGGGGCTCCCCCCAGTCTTCCTAGCCTAGGACCTTCCTGGAAGACAGGTGGCTGGGGCAGAGTGGCCAGAAGAGCTACCGATAACACTATGTATGACAGCTCAGGCTCCAGCACAGGACAACAGGGGTTCTTCAAGAAAGCAGGGACCCCGTCATTTGATAGAGTATACATTTACGTAAACCACAAATTATGTGCTATCATGTACATCCCTACAATATTTATTTCTCTATATTTGTATTGTCCTTGTTTTTTTATTTGTTTTTCCAGTGCTGGGGATCAGTCCCAGGGCCTTGTGCATGCTAGGCAAGCATTCTACAACTGACCTACCCTCTCAAACCTGTATTTATACTGTCACTTAACAAAGGAATGAAAATGGAGAAATAAAGAGGCTGTTCTACACACTGTAATGTGTGAGATTTACTTGGATTTTGATTCAAGCAAACTTGAATGTGGAAGGTATAACGATAAGTGAAACTTGAGTGCTAACAAAAAACTATCAATTTTTCAAATGTAATAATGGTTTTACTGATTTTCAACATGACCCTTTTCTTTACAGATGCGTTCTGACATTGTCATTGATGCAGACCTGAGGTGGTAATGCTGGCTAGGAGTAAGTGCTAACGCTGCTGGCAGGCACATGTGGACACACACAGAAGCAGCCTGGAGAGGCAGGTGGAACTCCAGAAGCAAGGGGCCTGGGGAACCAGAATGCCTTGCTGTAGACCTGGGCCTGCCACTGCCGCTGAAGAGAGAGACACAGGGCCTGGGAAGGTCACTCGGGGCCCCTGAACCTGTTTCTCTCTTTTTTTTTAAGGAGTTGCATCCACCCAGTGGAAGATCACAAGATGCCACACAGACTCTTTAAGGTCCTGGTACATGGAAAGTGGTCAAGCCGTGGTGGTGAAGGTCGTGACTGAGAGCCAAAAAGGCAACGCAGGTGGGATCATACCTTGTGGCCATTGCAGGCCTGGTGCTTCTGCTCTTCACATAGCCTGGCTCTGACCCGGATGGGAGTAGCATCCCTCCCGCTGTAGAGACAGAAATTTGTTATTGGGGCAGAATACTGAAACACTTTACATACTAGTTTTATCTTAAACTTTTCCTTTGAAATAATTTTAGAGTTAGGCAAATGCTGCAAAAATTGTGAAAATTTCCTATAACCCCTTCATCTAGGTTCTAATTGTACCTATGACCAAAAAATTAAAATTAAGAAACAGACATTTATACAATCTTACTACTTGGAAGAATTCATTTGGATTTTACCTGTGTGCCCAATAGTGACCCTTTTCTATTCCAGCATCCAATCAGGGACCCCACATTATGTTTACTTATCATGGCCACTGAGCCTGCTCCAGTCTAACTTTGATCTTTCTTTACTTTTGGGGGTTTGTTTTGTTTGTCTGTTTGGTACCAGGGATTGAACTCGGGTCCTTGCACTTGCAAGGCAGGCAGCAGAGCCACTGAACTAAATCCCCAGCCCCTTTCTTTACTTTATGATAGAGTATCCCCCTTGGTTTTTACAGTTTTCGCCTATTACAATAGGGTTATACATTTTGGCAAAGACAGTATAGAGATAAAGTGCCCTCCCCAACATGCTGTGTGCAGACATACATAGTGTCACTAACTTCTATTACTGGTGCTATCACTATTGATATTTTGTTTATGGTAGTGTTTGACAGGGTTTTCTCCTTTGTAATTAATCATTATCATTGGGAATTTCTTTGAGACTACATAAATAACCCATTTCTCTACATCTACTCACTTTACATTTCACAAACATCTACCCAGTTTAGTATCCACTGCAGATATTCCTCATTTAATGACCTACCTGTTTAATGACTGTTCAGACCTATGACTGAGGCCTTTTTTTTCTGAATTATGAGCCACAGCTTGGATTTAGTACTGTCTTTTTAAAAATACAGTTCTGGGTTGATAAGTGCAGGCAGATCCCAGGAAGCAGCTGTGTGCCCCAGACCAGCTCAGCTGCAGGTGGATCCCAGCCAGGGCTCCACCCTGACCCCAAGGCCTCCTGCTCACCCACCCAAGCCAAAGGCCCACCCAGAAAAGAGCTGCACAGGCACACAAGCTTCAGCCAGAGGCCCATCATACCATCCGCCATAGCCAAGGACCTGCCTAGAAAAGAGCTACAAAGGCACACAAGCAATACCCAAAGGCTCACCCCGATACCATTGATAAGTGCTTGGAGACCTTAGCCAAAGCCTTCCCAGACAACAGGAACCGAGGTGCACAGCCCCCAGCCAAAGACCCTCCCAGAAACAGCTACATAGGGGCCCCAGCGAGAAGCATGCCAAGATACCATCCCAAGTGTGCACAGGCCCCAGGCAGAAGCCTGCCCAGACAACAAGTCAGCTGAGGGATCCAGAAGGCCACCACTCTGAACCTAGGAATTGGTGTACTGGTGAGCAGCAGAGTAGAGGCTGCTGAGTGGCTTGCTGAGAATTCAAGACCACTGGGTGAGCATAAAGTCACCTCAAAAAAGGCACAGCAGGATGCTGCATCTCTTGAAGTGAGAAGATACGTAAATAAGTCTCAAAACCACACTTCCAGATCACCTAAGGCAACCCCAAAGGGCAACGAGATGGATCAATCTGATACTCAACCACCTGAACTCCCTGAACTGGCAACAAAAGAGGACCTGGAAAAAATGAAATCAGAAATAATTTCTCAGATAACAGCAGAGATTGTGCCCATAGTACAAGACATGATTAATAAATCTAGAGTGGACACAGATTAAAAAATACAGGAGCTGGGGATTTAGCTCAGTGGTTTCGCCACCTGCTGCACAAGCGCAAAGACCCAAGTTCGATCCCCGGTACCAAAAAAAAAAATACAGGAGCTAAAGAACACGATGGAATCCCAACATGGGAAACTAATGGAATCCATGAAACAGATGCAAACAGATTTCCAGGAAATTAAAAACTCCATTGAAAGTTTACACAGCAGAATGAGCAAATGTGAGGATAGAATTTCAGATATAGAAGATAGGATTGCAATTACTGAGCAGGAAAAGAACAATTTATTAAAATTAGTAAGGAACAGAGGAAGCTCCCCACCTCCACCCCAGGCTCCTAGGGCAGTGAAGCTCAGCCGGTCCCAGCACCCTGAAGGAAGCTCCCTTGCTGCCATCCCAAGCTCCTAGGGCAGAGAAGGTGAGCCACATGGGCGCCAGAAGCACCCCCCCATGGAAATGAGAAGACACATAAACAAGCCTCAAAAACAGACTTCCACATCACCTACAGCAAGCCCAAAGGGAAACGAGATGGAACACTCTGATACTCAACCACCTGGACTCTCTGAACTGGCAACAAAAGAGGATCTGGGAAAAATGAAATCAGAAATAATT